AATTTTGTCGATTTGTATTGTACTATATAATTATATAATAAAATTAAGTAATGCAACAGTAATTTTTTTTACTCGAATTGGCATAAACAGCTCTGAGATCGGATTTTTAATGTGGGTTACCAGAATTAACACAACCCTTTAGGAGTACTATAATGAGCATTAAAAATTTTTGAGAACACTCATAATTTAAATTAAGCTCTTCTGAGAACATAATTTTAAAATTGAATTTTAAACACTGATTGTAACCCAATATAAATATAATACATTCAGGATTGTTATTCCACAAAATGCGTAATAATATTTATTAAAAACCAAAAAAAAATTATTATATGACTACGCTATATTGCGAAATTAACGTCCAATCAATCATGTGAAAGGAAGTATCCAAAAATCCATATTTAAATGTTCAACTCTTTATGAATAATCAATCACGTGAGGGTTACTTACATCATTCAAGTATTGATTTTTTTTTTCTATACATGTTTTAAAATCTACTAATATCTCTACCAAGACACCATGCCAAGAACCTATTTATTTAAAATTGAAGATTAGAACTTGAATTATATATCAATGGTGAGTGATAATTTCAAAATTTTACTGACCAATACATTGGACTGATTTAATGTAAAGATGATCAATTAAGTTAGGATTCATTTATAAATAACACTTAAGCGAAATCTGTAAAATTTACACTTACATTAGTATCTTATTTCTTAGCGACACTGTCATGGTAAAATATGCCGATCGCCAAAATAACCATGCAAAGGTTCCTCGTTCTTTTGCTTTGACATTTGTTGATGTCAAATCAAGCATAGCTTGAAGAGCAAAAAGAGTTAGTACAATCGGTATAATATATATATATTTAAAAAAACTTGTAATTATTTGAACTAGTACCTTCATGCTCTCCAATATAAACCATACTTCCAAGATTTGTAAATTTGAATGGTTTCACTCCTTCGAATGAACCACCATCTTTAGCAATTTGAGTTAAAGCTAATGGTTAATAAAATTATTAATTTAATTAATTAAATTTAAGGAAATCTAGGAAAGTTAATACAATATCAATTCGATAGAAATTGACCTGCCTTTTCGTAAATGGATCGCCTTTTGATTTGCCACCTGAGCTGTGGCAGGAAGATCGTAATCTTTTATTGTTGCGCAATCACCAATAGCATACCTTATTAACAAATATTTTTACAATATTATATATTTTAAACACTTCACAATAACTAA